TTTTATATTTCTGTAGTTTCTAAAATTTTTAGTCTCTTAATATAGTAATACTTTTGGTTATGAAAAAATAAATTAGTTTCACATTTCATACTTCTAACTACTTGAATATGATACTTAAAAAACTCTATGTAATATTGTCATGTTTAGTGCTTGATTTATTTATTTTTTGGATGCAGTTTTCTTGAATTGATGAAAATAATAAACGCATTCATGTCTTGTAATTGGATGTGGAGATCACTAAACCAATTGTACATATTTCTTAAGTCATATTATTTAATATGAGACAAATAGAGTATACAAGTTCTAGTTCAAAATTACCTAAATTCTAAAAATATAAACATAAACATACTCAATCACACTACTATAGACATAATATACTTATTTCGTCAAATTATTTTGACAAATTTAAGTTTACATTTCAGGTACAATTCCATCGGTTATCGGAAATATAATTTCTCTAGAAATCATTGATTTTTCAAATAACAACTTGACAGGTATAATATAACTTTTCTTCCTCTTTGTGTTGTTATTTTTTTTATATTTATTAATTAGTTATAAGTATTTTTGTCATTTGACGTGTCCTTTTGTATTCAAACATAAATCATTTAAATATTAAATTCAAATAAATCCATTCTAAAATGATTTAAATTTAAAATATCTTATTATTTTAACAAATTTAATTTTACATTTCAAGTATAATTCCATCGGTTATCGGAAACCTTTCAAACTTGGAAAGGTTATATCTATGAAAAAATAAATTAGTTAGATTATTTATGATCAAATTCAATTTATAATTTGAATTGAGATTTTCTTAGAACTAATTGAAAATAATAAAAGTATATATTAAAAAATTCATAAACTATTCGAATTGCATATTAAAGTATTTAAATTTAATTCTTTTAATAATTTAAATATTCAAATTACTCAAATAATACGTTGAGAAGCAAGATTTGCAGTACATGGTTTGAATAATTTGCAAAACAAAATAAAAATTAAAATGGTAAGTTACATACGACATGAATCAGAAAACGAGAGAGTTAAAAATCATTCAATAGTGAAATATGGGTCCAGACATGAAGTCTTGCATTTTAGGCATATTAATTCTTATCCAAATAGTAAGGCGGTGGCCGCCCCCACCACCGTCCTTGCTTGCTGCTTCTCGCCCTTCTACGAACGCTTTTCTTAAGTTTTCAAAAGCCAACACAGCGATGTAGAGTCCTTCTTTATGTCCTATGAATAAAGGTTTGGTCGGTCTACTCTGGTGTTTTTGGGATATAGGGTCGTTGGCTTTAGTCCCCATTTTGCTACTCGATGGATTGGGTGTTCCAATTTAGCTTGGTGAGATTGTTTCATTCTTTACATACTGCGATTTTTTCCTGTTCCTATTGTTTGTTGTTTCGTGCTTGAGGTTTGGTTTAAGTATGCAATTAGATTCAAGGTGTTGAGATTCTGTGTGAGTTTTTTAGTCGATTTCTGGAGTCAGTTTGCGATAGCTAAAACTGCATGCAAGGTGTTTGTGTTAAAGCCATAGTGATTTAGTCTTTTGCTCGTTTGATATATTTCAGTATGAGGGAGAGCGTTACTTGTCTTCCTTCGGAATCTGGTTCTTTGTATGTGGAGAATCTACCAAACACTTTTCTTTGGAAAGGTTTTTGGCAGATTGTGGGATGCTTTGGTGAGGTTCTGTGAGTGTTCCTTCTCAAGAAGAGGAGTCGAGTTGGCTCTACTTTTGGATTCGTTAATGATGTTGGTCCTGCAAGTGAAGTTTTCAAGGATTTAGAGTTTCCAAGGATTTAGAGTTTACAGAACTGCTTGAGTTTGGTGCGTGTCTGTAAGGGGTTGTGGAGGTTTTAGTTTTTGTTCTTGAGATATTGTTCGTGGTGTTCTCAAAGTTGTTGCCAAGTGTTTTCTGGTGGTTTTCTTCCTTTCACCGTTTACTGCCTGGGTGTTTGTGGTTGTTTAGGGGCTGCGCTTTGGTGGATGGTGTCTGTCCTGTGCTTTGGTGGTCTGCTGCGTGTGAATTGTTCACTGTGTTAGTTTTCCGTGTGTTCTTCAGCAGTTCAGTATGTTATGGATCTTTGTGGGGGTCGTTTCTTTCAATCCATGAAGAAACAAGAAATTGAGTTCATTTTGATGAAGCCAGATTGCTTCTGGATGTGTAGTGTGCTTCGGTGGTACCGGAGTATTGTTCTGTTATCATTAATTGTTGGGCTTTCCCTTCAAATTCCTTATGGTGGTTCATGAAGAAGAAAGAATTTTCATCGATGGCACTTTGGCCGGTGGTGGTGTGGTGAATTCTGCAGTTGACGGTGTTGAGAGTTTTCCTAGGTTGAAGGTGGTTTTCGTTTGCAGTTGCTGGTTTCGAGATCCCCGCATGTTGATACTTTTGGTGGAAATAAGGTGGTTGTCGGGTGATTGGTAGCTCTTTTCGATGCTTCAGGGTTTTTTTATTGGTTTAGGGTGAGCATGGTATGGGTGTTAGAGTGGAGCAGGGAGTGGTGAGTAAGTGGGAGCATGGGTGGTTTTGTGTGGTTGTAGTGCTAGCATGGGTGGTGTTCCCACTTCTTACAAAAAGCAACGTGTTTTATAATGGTTTGTACCAAGTATAGTATGTTGGGTTTGTCCTGGTGTTTTAGTAGTGCCATTAGGTTCATACCATTGGCATTGCTGTTTGTGTTTGGTACTCAGTGTGTTCTCTATGTATATTGTCGGCTTGACTGTGTTAGTTATTATATGTTGGATTTGGGCTTGTGGTAGGGGGTTCGGTTTGAACCATGTAATTGTGTTATGTGTTTTTTATCATGACCACCTTAAGGTTCACTCTTTTTCCTCCATTTAGGATTAGGGAGGTTTTTTAATGAGGTCCTTGAGGTGGTGTACTTTGTTATCCTTCTTAATACAAAGTACCCTCTTTCAAAAAAAAAAAAAAAATTCTTATCCAAATTATGACTCAAAGGATACCCTGCCTAAATCCATGTTATTTAAAGACAATGAACTAACAATAGAGAAGCATTATACCCACACCCAACCTTATGGCAAAAACTCCCTTCCTCCCTCCTCTTTGTATCTTGGTCACAACTTCAGAGGTAAAAAATTCCTCATTTGCATCCCGTTCTCTTTTATTTTCATTAGATAAAAGTTGTTTTATAATTAACAATCTCACTGCAGGCCATCTAGAGTCGAGAATATTTGATAACATGTCTAAATTGCAAGCATTAAGCTTGGCTGGGAATCAAATTTCTGGTAGCATTCCTAATAGTTTATTCAAGTGCAAAGAGTTGAGGTATATATCATTGTGGAACAATTCTATGGAAGGAAGTATACCTATAGAAATCGGAAATTTGACTATGCTCCAATCTTTGTATCTTGGTCGGAACAACTTCAGAGGTAAACAATTCCTCATTTGCATCCCGTTCTCCTTTATTTCATTAGCTGTGTTACGTCTAACTTTAGGAAACCAGTTAGAGATGTTGAACTTTGCCTTAAATTGACGTCAAACCTAATGGCAAAAATGACAACCTCAGTGGTAAATAATTTTTGTTTTTATTTCATTAAAAATCTCAATTAAAATCACAAATTATTTAAATTATATGATAAAATATTCAAATTCAATTTTCGTAATGACTCTGACTTTAGTTCTTGATGCATGACTTTAAACGATAATCATCTACCTATTATTTGATGTTAACCCAATTTAAAGAAGAAGAAAAAGATGAATTGATTAATTATAGAAACATTTTCTTTAAAAAATTGGGTGTAGATTATAGGCAATAATTGGTTAAAGGTTGGACTGATTATTTAATTTTATATTTCAGGTACAATTCCATCGGTTATCGGAAATATAATTTCTCTAGAAATTATTCAATTTTCGAATAACAACTTGACAGGTATAATATAACTTTCCTTCGTCTTTTTGTTGTTATTTTGTTATATATTTATTAATTAGTTATAAGAATTTTTGTCATTTGACGTGTCCTTTTGTATTCAAACATAAATCATTTAAATATTAAACTCAGATAAATCCATTCTAAAATGATTTAAATTTAAAATGTTAAGTTATGATACATCAAAAGAAATGACCAAATCCTTTTCAATATCAATTTTTTTATTTCGTTGGAAAATTTTCTGTCTAAAATTTGGTAATTTGTTGCATGTAATGTGATATCCAAGTGATTTTTTTAAAAATATATTTACTGATTTTCTAGAAAAAATGATATTTGTTTTACATACCTAACTGTTGGAAACTGTACCGATTTGCAATTGTCATCTTTTTGTTTAACGAGAAGAATATTTAAAATCATTTTAAAAACAGTTATATATTTTACTACAATTCAGGCTCCATAAATGGTATTGTAAGAAAAGGCCTGATGTTGTTAAGTAAATTAACAAACATTTTTTTATTTGTTTCAAAGATTATTCAAACTTCTGATTCAAACTCTATTTCATATTTTCTGCAAGGCCAAATTCCTTCCTCATTATGCAATTCGAGTTCCCTTACGGCTCTCTCTTTAGATGATAATGGTTTGGATGGAACAATTCCGGAGTGCATTGGAAATATAATTTCTCTAGAGATTATTAGTTTTTCGAATAACAACTTGACAGGTATAATATAACTTTCCTTCCTCTTTTTGTTGTTATTTTGTTATATATTTATTAATTAGTTATAAGAATTTTTGTCATTTGACGTGTCCTTGGTTTTTCCAAAATTTGGTAATTTGTTGATTGTCATGTGATATCCAAGTGAATGATATTTGTTTTACGTACCTAATTGTTGGAAACTGTACTGATTTGCAATTGTCATCTTTTTGTTTAACGAGAAGAATATTTAAAATCATTTTAAAAACAATTATATATTTTACTACAATTCAGGCTCCATAAATGATATTGGTTTCATGTAAGAAAAGGCCTAATGTTGTTAAGTAAATTAACAAACATTTTTTTATTTGTTTCAAAGATTATTCAAACTTCTGATTCAAACTCTATTTCATATTTTCTGCAAGGCCAAATTCCTTCCTCATTATGCAATTTGAGTTCCCTTATGCTTCTCTATTTATCGAACAATAGTTTGGATGGAACAATTCCGGAATGCATTGGAAACTTGAGTTCTTCTCTTTCACACCTTAACCTACGGATGAATAATTTTCATGGTAAAATACCTGAAAATTTTGCTGAAGGTTGCAGCTTTATAAGTTTTCTAATCAGCAACAACCAAGTCGAAGGGTCACTACCACGATCTTTGGGTAATTGTAAAGATTTGAAGCTTCTTGATGTTGGGAACAACTATTTAAATGCCACTTTCCCAAATTGGTTAGGAAATTTGAATCAGTTACAAGTGCTTGACTTGAGATCGAACAGATTCTATGGTAAGGTGGATAGCTCTGATGTTACCTTCACTCGTTTGCGTGTCATTGATCTTTCTCGTAATAACTTCAGTGGCTACCTACCTGTAAATTTTTTTGAAAATTTGCATGCCATTAGAGAAGTGAATGAAAAGAAAGTTAAACCAGAGTACATGATAGAAGAAGTAGCTAGTGGAACAATATATATTGAACTAGGCTTATCTTTTACAACAAAAGGGTTGGAAACAGAGTTTGAGAAACTATTAACCATATGGACAGCTATTGACTTCTCCAGCAACCAATTCTCCGGAGAAATTCCTAAAACAATTGGAGAGCTTCATTCACTAATTGCCCTAAATCTCTCTCATAATTGTTTAACAGGTCCTATCCCATCATCATTAGGTGATTTGTCAGAACTTGAATCATTAGATCTCTCATCAAACAAGCTCCACGGAAGAATTCCAACAGAGTTTACAAATCTTGGATTCCTTGAGGTGTTAAACCTTTCTCATAATAATCTCGTAGGACCCATTCCTCATGGCAAACAATTGGATACTTTCAGTAATGATTCCTACATAGGAAACTTGGGTTTATGTGGATTGCCATTATCAAAGAGCTGTGATAATGATGAGGGAACTCCAGCCAAATTTGATAGAGATGATGATGAAGATGGATTGAATTGGAAATTTCTATACTGATGGGTATGGATGTGGGTTGGTGTTGGGATTGAGCATGGGATACATTGTATTCACAACTGGAAGACCATGGTGGTTCATTAAGATCTACGTGAGAGTTCAACAAAGATTTGCAGAAAAGGTAAAAATAGAACTCTTTGACGGATTTTTATTACAGATCGAGCAGTGGACAGAGTAGAAAATTTCATTGCATGGTGGTAGGCAGGCCCTTATCTATAGTTGTTTTATATATAGTTTGTCTTCAATAATTTCCAAATAATTAACCCCAAAACTATAAGTATGGTTTCATGTATTGACCCTCTTTTGTTGTCTCTTTTCTTTTATATTGTACTTGAATTAATCCCTGCATTTTGTGGAGTTTTAAGAAATTTTAGATTAAATTTTTTGTTTATTTTTAATTTGTGATGATAGTAAGATAATATAATTATATTTTATTAATAAAATTATAATAATTATTTATAATCTAACTTGAATTTTATATTGATTCATTCATTAGTTAAAATATTGAAATAATTTTATTCTAAACTTCATCCGGTTTTTCATATCAGTCTTCTGAAACGAAAAATTGGAAATAAGATTGTTGCTTCGAGAGACCCACCTGAACTCACTGCTGATGGGCAGCTTCGGGTTTATCTTGCAATCGTTTTGGATAAACGAGTCATTAAACGAAACAATAGGGCAGTGACTCAATTACTTATTCAATGGTCAAATCTGGGAGTTGAGAATGCAACCTGGGAAGATTTCACAGTCCTTCGATCCCAATTTCCAGACTTAGATCCTTGGGGACAAGCATCTGCTGCAGATGGGGGTATTGTCATGACCCATGAGGCGAATTTAGGGATTGCTGAAGAAGAAAAGGGGAATACGGGGAAATTAGGGATTGGAAATGGGAAATTAAATGAAGAGAAGATGGATAAGGATATTTCATTACCTGCTGGACTTGGAACCTGAGCGTGGGCTGATAAGAGATAAGGAAGGAGTGCTTAGTGGACCTGAGAAGGAAAACGAGCCCAGCAACCTGCATCAACAGTAGAAGACAAATCAGCTAAAGGAATCTAGTTTGTTGAAAAATAATGTACAGCTGGCAATCTGTTATGACTATTCCTATAAAAATCAGTTGTAATGAGCATCAAATCTATGAATGAAAATCTTGAGAATTCTGTTTTCTTCAATCTATCTTCTCTATTTTCTTAGTCCTTTCTTAATTTCTTGAGCAGACCATTACATATACTTGATCTTTGATATTGTTTTTCCAGAATTGTGAGGAATCATGCTTTTACGATAAAACCTCATAGTAAGAAACCAAGCCCCAAAATGGATTTTGATAGGTACAACGAGGACCGATGGACAATGCATACAGAGCCCGTTCCTGTTTTTTCTCTCCAATAGCAACATTTAGTGCAGATAAAAGAAGACCTATCAAAAGAGATATATGTAATTTTGTTCCCAAAAAAATGCATCCATTAACAGAGATGGATGGATGGATATACAGATACCTGTTGGGAAAGAGATCTAGTCATTCAGCAAGCAATCTTCATGAATTGCTCTTCAATCTCGAAAACTGCACTCTCCCATTGAACTTGAAGGTTGTTTTGTGATATCGAATTCCAGGCTATTGTTCCCTCATCTATCAATCTCTTTGCCTATTTATTTGATGTCTATGAGCAGGCAACAATGTTTTTCAATTACCAAAAAGAATACAAAAATTCAACAACACTAGATATAGATCCCAAGAAAAAATGACACTGATGTATATTTTCCCAATATTCACAATCAAGAGATATCACGACCAGTACCATCACATTCCTCACTATACCAACCCAACAAGAATAAAATGATCACGAACAATAATGTCTGAACGCTGAAGCATTGTAAGTTACCTGTGATGAGAACATCCGGATTCCGGAGTAGACGGAAACCAATTATTTTTTAATTTGTATTATTCATTAATATAAGAAAACAAATGTCATATTGTCATCGACTCATTTTATTTTAAATATTTATTTATCTAAGTATTCTAATGTCTGTACTCAGTACGTGGCCCGCCTATTTTTAATTTTAAAACTTTCAGGTTTTTTTTTTCTTTTTTGATAAATTCAGTTTAAAACTTTTTTTTTGCATGGATTCAAATAGTGGCCATATAGTGGAATAACGGTTGCTATATCCCCCTCACTAGAGATGTTTTGTATATAATTATGGCACGCAATCATAGGCCTTGGATAAATCCAATTTCAAGATAACCCCCTGACACCCTACCGTCATATCCCATAGAATGGATAATTTCGTTTGCAATTAGAATTCCATCAAAGATTTGTCGACCCTTTATGAAGGCACATTGACTCTCACCAATTATGGTCCATCACCAATCATAAAAAAGCATTGAGAGTAATTTTGCAATGATCTTGTAAATTGACCCAACAAGGCTAATTGGTCTAAATTCAGAAATAACTGTTGGATCACACTTCTTCAAAATTAAAGCTACACTAGAGGAGTTAATTGATGGAGCTAACTTGCCTTCTTCGAAGAAAACAGATAACGTCTTACATAATTTTCCCTTCGACTTCCTCCCAGTAAAACTTATATAATTTCAAGTTAAATCCATGAGGTTCAAGGACCTTCGGATCCCCACAACTCTAAATTGCTTCTTTGATCTCATACTCCGAAAAGGGTTCTTCTAATCTTTTCGAATCTTCACTGGCAAATTTTTGAAATTTAAATTAAATTTCCCTCTCTAGATTCTATCTAGGTATCAGGTCCAGGTGTCTTTTCACTTTTTCACGTCTTCTTTGATTCCAATTTAAACAATTTTCTATAATCAGGAATGGACCGAAGGGGTCACAACCCCTAGAAATTTTAAATTCCCTATATTTTAGTTTTTTCTTTGTATTTTCTATTGATTGTCTATTTTTTCATATTCTAAAATTTTTAATATAACTTCTTAAGTTCGCACCCTGACCTGAATTCCTACGTCCGTCCATGTCTATAACCATATACGATATATATATCATGCCAAGTTAAGGGACTCGACTCAAACTTGAACACTATTCCACCAATTACTAAAACTTTTGAGTTATTCGAGTTCTATTTTATAACTAAACTAGTATTTAATTTTTTTTCCAAGTCGAGTTAAGTTTTTTCGAGTCAAGTCCAATCGAAAATTTCAAATTTTCAAATCGAATCAAGTTTTTATTCTCTAGGGGTGGGGAAGAGTCCTCCCGTCTTCAAGGAAGCTTCATCCCTGGTTACGCGAATACTTATATGTCAAGATCAATTCTAATAAATGGTTGATGTGAGATTTTAAGAGTTTGTGTCACGGCACTATCTACTTAGTTGATGCGTTATTAACCAAGATTTGTGGTAGAACTTTGCAGTATTAATTTGCAAAACAATATGTAATTGAAACAGAAAGATACAACATCAAGTGGAAAATAAAAGAGATGAAAACAACCATTGAATTAATTATCACAATCGTGAAAAATGGGTCCAGACATGTGGTCCTAAGTGATGCCTTGAGACGTATGATTTGGGGTACAGTCCATGGTGAAACAGGCTGCCTTTGATTTGTGTGAATGTGACAAAGTTTGAAATTACTCGTAAATAACAAATGATGAATATGTTAGATTCCAATGTTCAATCAAAATAAGATTCTGGGTTGGCTCAAGTGGTAAATAACTTAGTATCGCTTAAGTATGAATGAGTTATTGTGTATGTAAAAAATCTCCGCTAGGAGACTTACCCACTAAAGCCAGCTGTGCGATCCAAGTCGGTCCGAATTAATCAAGGCAAAACCTTAAGTACCAAATGGAACAACAAAATAAGATTCTCAATTGATGTACTGAGACTAAGTCTTTCATATTTGGTTTTCCTTTTGTGCCCAATAATTTTGCGTATGTCTTACTCCAATTGTGACAGTTTGTTGATTGATGGATATGTTTGATTCCAATGCTCAACAAAATAACAATCTACATTAAATACTATTCTCGATTTCATTTTATGAATAAAAGTCTTTTTGGTTAACTATGTTCTAAAAGTCTTCTAAGTCTTTGTTTCCATCCATTCCCTAATTTCCTCGAAGTCCACTGAAACTAGACTGAAACAATCGATCCTTTTCAACAATCACATTTGCACGAATTATTTTTTGATTCAAATTATAATCAATATTTAAGTTGGATTTTATTATAATTATAGTGGTTGAAGATTATTTGATAATTAAGTTTATTTAGTAAGTAAATATTTATTTTAGGCAATAATTCCTATATAATAGAATCCTTTAAAATGATGAGAGAATTTTTTGAGAGATATAATCATCTTGTACTCTCTACATATTTTGGGGTTTATGTTACAAAGAGGAGTTTTATAGGGATATTAAGCGAGTGATTTTGGATACTTTGAGTTTTGGATAGATATCAAATTTTAATATACATGTGATATCATGTATTTGTACGCTTCATGATTTCTACGTCTATGATGGTTTAATGTTCTTATTGTTCGTAAAAGTAGACAAAGTCAAACCACATTAAATCTCGTTTCTTGCATATATCTTATTTTACATTGATATCGTTTTACGCATGTTCCTACATGCATGCAACTATAGAAAATGTCATAGTTGATGTTTATCGATCTAATATATTTTAGTTTTATTTTACAGAGTTAATAAACTAAATTAATTTAAGATCATCATGATAACAAATAAGCGTCATCTTGATCAGTTGTGATGATATCAAATCTAACCCTGAAAAGAAAAGAAAAGAAAACAACGGTCAAACAACCGAAAACATGCCATAGAAACAGAGGAAAACATGCCATAAAGGCAGGAGAACTACCTAAAAGGCAAAATTATTAAGAATAAAAAAACATAAATTAAAAAAAGATACGCTATAATAAAGCAAAAGAAAAATAATGAATACCGACGGTCGACAACCAGTACCAAGACTGGTGTTGCCGCCGGTTACAAAGATGAAGAAGAAAAGAGACTAATGACGGCTGACGGCTAAGGAAAAAGATAGAAAAGAGAAAATCGGTTTCAAGTTAGATTATTTATGATCAAATTCAATTTATAATTTGAATTGAGATTTTCTTAGAACTAATTGAAAATAATAAAAGTATATATTAAAAAAATCATAAATTATTCGAGTTGCATATTAAAGTATTTAAATTTAATTCTTGTAATAATTTAAATATTCAAATTACTCAAATAATACGATGAGAAGCAAGGTTTGCAGTACATGGTTTGAATAATTGGAATAACAAAATTAAAATTAAAATGGTAAGTTACATACGACATGAAGTAGAAAACGATAGAGAGAAAAAAAGTCATTGAATCGTGAAATATGGGTCCAGACATGAAGTCTTAAAACAAGTATATCAGTTCTACTCTTCAACTCGAGACTAAGTCTTGCATTTTAAGCCTTCCATTATGTGTCGTGTATTGTGGTTGGTGCCTTCTTATCCAAATTATGACTCAAAGGATACCCTCCCTAAATCCATCCTATTTAAAGACACTCAACTGAAGCATTAAACCCAGTTGTTTCTCTCTTCATGATTTGCATTATACCCACACCCAACCTTATGGCAAAAACTCCCTTCCTCCCTCCTCTTATGTTTCTGCTTTTATTGCAACCTTTAGTGCTACTTTCTCTGCCAACATCACCACTGATCAATCTGCCCTTTTAGCCTTAAAATCCCATATCACTCACGATCCCCACAACTTCCTAGCAACCAACTGGTCCACTTCTACCTCTGTTTGCAATTGGATTGGTGTCACCTGTGGATCCAGACACCACAGAGTCACAGCTCTGAACTTGTCAAGTATGGATCTCACAGGCACCATCCCATCTCAGTTGGGAAATTTATCTTTCCTTGCCTACCTCTACATTCATAACAATAGTTTTCATGGCTCTTTACCTATTGAGTTAACTAATTTGCATCGGCTGAAATATTTGAACTTTGGTAACAACAGCTTCAGTGGAGAAATCCCATCATGGTTTGGTTCCTTCGCTAAACTTCAAGGCTTGTTCTTGTACAGGAACAACTTCACTGGTGTTATCCCATCCACTCTTGGCAATTTGTCAAAACTTGAAATGTTGAGCTTGTACAGCAACAGTCTCCAAGGTCCCATACTTTTCTCAATCATGTCTTTATTTTCACTTGTAAAAAGTTTATTTTATAACTAACGTTGTCATATTTAATATATTCTCATTGCAGGTCATCTATCATCAGGAATGTTTGACAACCTTTCTAAATTACAAGGACTCGATTTACATGAAAATCAAATTTCTGGCAGGATTCCAAAGAGTTTATTCAAATGCAAAGAGTTGACGTTTTTATCATTGTTTTCCAACTCTTTGCAGGGAAGTATACCTTCAGAAATTGGGAATTTGACTATGCTCGACATTCTGTATCTTAATCAGAACAACCTCAAAGGTAAATAATTTCACATTGCAGTCCATCTACTCTCACTTAACAATTCCAATTTTTTGTTATCTTATTTTTACAGACAGTTGAACCATCAACCAATTATTTAATGTCAAATTAGGGTAGACTAAAGGAATAAGTCCTAACCTACATATTGAAATAAGTTGTATCGTTAGTCTTCTTTGAATCAAATACCTTGGAACTATTTTTAAATTTCTGTAGTTTTTTAAATTTTTAATCTCTTAATATAGTAATACTTTTGGCTATGAAAAAATAAATTAGTTTCACATTTCATACTTCTAACTACTTGAATATGATACTTAAAAAATTGTATGTAATATTATCATGTTTAGTGCTTGATTTAATTTTTGGATGTTTCAGTTATTTTTTTGGACCTGATACTTCCAACTATTTGGAGCTTTCATAAGTACTAAAACAATTTAATTTTTTTTTAATTTTTTAAAACGGAAAAGAAATGCAAAATATATGCCTATAGCACTCCAACAAAAATATAAGGATCTTCTATAAAATTATTAATAATTTTTGACAGATTTAATTATATATTTTAGATAAAATTTCACCAGAGAATGAAAATTTGAATTCTCTCGCGTACATAAATTTTTCTAATAACGATTTCTTGGGTAAAGATGTGTTTGGATTAAATATTTTCAACTATTTGCAGCTTTCTTAAGCAGTGAAAAAAATTTGAATAAAATTTTCAAGTTTAAGAAAATAAAAAGGGAAAGAAATGGAGAACAAATGCCTCTGGTGCTCAACATAGAAATTAGGGGTTTGTTAGAAAATTTATTAATAAATTTTGATCGGTTTACTTATATGTTTGAAGTGAAATTCCATTAGTTATTACAAACTTACTTATCTTGAGAATATTAGTCTTTCTTTTAACAACTTTAAAAATATAATATCATATTTTTTTTAAATTTTATATCTTTCTCGATCTTGAATATATTTTCATTAGATAAAAGATTTATATAACTAACAATTTCACTGCAGGCCATCTAGAGTCAGAAATATTTGATAACATGTCTAAATTGCAAGTATTAAGCTTGAATGGGAATCAAATTTCTGGTAGCATTCCCAGTAGTTTATACAAGTGCAAAGAGTTGAGGTATTTATCACTGTGGAACAATTCTATGGAAGGAAGTATACCTATAGAAATCGGAAATTTGACTATGCTCCAATCTTTGTTTCTTGGTTACAATAACTTCAAAGGTAAAAAATTCCTTGTTTGCATCCCTTTCTCTTTATTTTCGTTAGATAAAAGTTGTTTTATAATTAACAATCTCACTGCAAGTCATCTGGAGTAGGGAATATTTGATAACATGTCTAATTTGCAATAATTAAGCTTGGCTGAGAATCAAATTTCTGGTAACATTCCTAATAGTTTTTCAATTTATAATTTGAATTGAGATTTCCTAGAACTAATTTAGAATAATAAAAGTATAGATTAAAAATAAAATTTTGATTAAAATCATAAACTATTTAATTATTAAAAAATCTCAATTAAAATAAAATATTATTTAAATTATATAATAAAATATTCAAATTCAACCTATTATTTGATGTTAACTTTAGTTCTTGATGCATGACTTTAAACGATAATCATCAACCTATTATTTGATGTTAACCCAATTTAATGAAGAAGAAAAAGATGAATTGATTAATTATAGAAACATTTTCTTTAAAGAATTGGGTGTAGATTATAGGCAATAATTGGTTAAAGGTTGGACTGATTATTTAATTTTACATTTCAGGTACAATTCCATCGGTTATCAAAAATATAATTTCTCTAGAAATGATTGATTTTTCGGTTAACAACTTCACGGGTATAATATAATTTTCCTTCCTCTTTTTATTGTTATTTTGTTATATATTTATTAATTAGTTATAAGAATTGTTTTCATTTGACGTGTCCTTTTGTATTCAAACATAAATCATTTAAGTATTAAACTCAAATAAATCCATTCTAAAATGATTTAAATTTAAAATATCTTATTTTTTTCAACTCGAAATGAACTAAACTAAATGTCCATGGTTTTTCTAATTGTAAGTTTTAAATATTGTTAAGTTATGATAAATCAAAAGAAATTATCAAAATCCTTTTCAATATCAACTTTTTTTTTATTTCGTTAGAAAATTTTCTGTCCAAAATTGGTAATTTGTTGCATGTCATATGATATCCAAATGAAATTTTCAAAAATATATTTGTTGATTCTCTAGAAAAAATGATATTTGTTTTACATACCTAACTGTTGGAAAATGTACCGATTTGCAATTGTCATGTTTTTGTTTAATTAGAAGAATATTTAAAATCATTTTAAAAACAATTATATATTTTAGTACAATTCAGGCTCTATAAATGGTATTAGTTTCATGTAAGAAAAGGCCTGATGTTGTTAATTAAATTAACAAACATTTATTTATTTGTTTCAAAGATTATTCAAACTTCTGATTCAAACTCTATTTCATATTTTCTGCAAGGCCAAATTCCTTCCTCATTATGCAATTTGAGTTCCCTTATGGCTCTCGATTTATCGAACAATAGGTTGGATGGAACAATTCAGGAATGTGTTGGAAACTTGAGTTCTTCCCTTTTTTACCTTGACCTACGGATGAATAATTTTCATGGTAAAATACCTGAAAATTTTGCTGAAGGTTGCAGCTTAAAAAATTTTCTAATCAGCAACAACCAAGTCGAAGGGTCACTACCACGATCTTTGGGTAATTGTAAAGATTTAAAGCTTCTTGATGTTGGGAACAACTATTTAAATGACACTTTCCCAAATTGGTTAGGAATTTTGGATCAGTTACAAGTGCTTGACTTGAGATCGAACAGATTCTATGGTAAGGTGGATAGCTCTGATGTTACCTTCACTCGTTTGCGTGTCATTGATCTCTCTCGTAATAACTTCAGTGGCTACCTACCTGTAAATTTTTTTAAAAATTTGCATGCCATTAGAGAAGAGAATGAAAAGAAAGCTAAACCAGAGTACATGGAAGATGTAATACCTGGTGGAACAATAAATATTGCGCCAGGTTTATTTTTTACAACAAAAGGATTGGAAACAGAGTTTGAGAAACTATTAACCATATGGACAGCTATTGACTTCTCCAGCAACCAATTCTCCGGAGAAATTCCTAAAACAATTGGAGAGCTTCATTCACTAATTGCCCTAAATCTCTCTCATAATTGTTTAACAGGTCCTATCCCATCATCATTAGGTGATTTGTCAGAACTTGAATCATTAGATCTCTCATCAAACAAGCTCCACGGAAGAATTCCAACAGAGTTTACAAATCTTGGATTCCTTGAGGTGTTAAACCTTTCTCATAATAATCTCGTAGGACCCATTCCTCATGGCAAACAATTGGATACTTTCAGTAATGATTCCTACATAGGAAACTTGGGTTTATGTGGATTGCCATTATCAAAGAGCTGTGATAATGATGAGGGAACTCCAGCCAAATTTGATAGAGATGATGATGAAGATGGATTGAATTGGAAATTTTCTATACTGATGGGGTATGGATGTGGGTTGGTGTTGGGATTGAGCATGGGATACATTGTATTCACAACTGGAAGACCATGGTGGTTCATTAAGATCTACGTGAGAGTTCAACAAAGATTTGCAGAAAAGGTAAAAAATAGAACTCTTTGACGGATTTTTATTACAGATCGAGCAGTGGACAGAGTAGAAAATTTCATTGCATGGTGGTAGGCAGGCCCTTATCTATAGTTGTTTTATATATAGTTTGTCTTCAATAATTTCCAAATAATTAACCCCAAAACTATAAGTATGGTTTCATGTATTGACCCTCTTTTGTTGTCTCTTTTCTTTTATATTGTACTTGAATTAATCCCTGCATTTTGTGGAGTTTTAAGAAATTTTAGATTAATTTTTTTTGTTTATTTTTAATTTGTGATGATAGTAAGATAATATAATTATATTTTATTAATAAAATTATAATAATTATTTATAATCTAACTTGAATTTTATATTGATTCATTCATTAGTTAAAATATTGAAATAATTTTATTCTAAACTTCATCCGGTTTTTCATATCAGTCTTCTGAAACGAAAAATTGGAAATAAGATTGTTGCTTCGAGAGACCCACCTGAACTCACTGCTGATGGGCAGCTTCGGGTTTATCTTGCAATCGTTTTGGATAAATGAGTCATTAAACGAAACAATAGGGCAGTGACTCAATTACTTATTCAATGGTCAAATCTGGGAGTTGAGAATGCAACCTGGGAAGATTTCACGGTCCTTCGATCCCAATTTCCAGACTTCGATCCTTGGGGACAAGCATCTGCTGCAGATGGGGGTATTGTCATGACCCATGAGGCGAATTTAGGGATTGCTGAAGAAGAAAAGGGGAATACGGGGAAATTAGGGATTGGAAATGGGAAATTAGATGAAGAGAAGATGGATAAGGATATTTCATTGTTAGGAAAATAAACCGAGTACAAGTAATTTCCCTATAACCAGATTAGTGAGAATGCGAAATAAAAGCGGAAAAATAATACCCGAAAATTGATAACGGAGTTCAGCCAATTGTGCTTACGTCTCCGGGCTGCTGCAGATCTTTTACTAAGAGAGAAAATTTACAGGTGTTTACAAAACACTCACTACTCACAAGAAAGCTCTCTAGTATAGGAAGAAAGAAATGTTTTGGGATGATTTTGAAGCTAAATGGGTAAGGGTATTTATAGTAGAAACTTAGGGACTAATCTTTGAAAATACCCTAAAGTGCAATGACTAAAGTGAATTTACCCATTCCTATTTTCAACAAACATCTACCAAAATTTTACCAAACTTTGAAAAACATTTTTCAAAGAAACATTTACCAAACTTTGAAAAAAAAACATTTTCCAAAGTTGGTTGCCAAACTTTGAAACTTTTAACAATCTCCCACTTGAAGACTGATTTTAATATGTCTTCACACCTCGATCAATGCAGCAGCATGTCTGGTCTTGTTATTCTAGCATGCCAACTGAAGTTGAACACAACTTCAGTTTGTCCGTAGTCACCGTCTTTGTCAACATGTCTGCCGGATTTTGAGCTCCACTAATCTTTTCAAGTTTCAAAATCCCATCTTCCAGAAGAGACCGGATAAAATGATATCTCAATTGTATGTGCTTTGTCCTGGAATGAAAAGACGGATTCTTTGCTAGATGGATAGCACTTTGACTGTCGCAATACAAGATATTGTTTTCTTGTTTCTTGCCTAACTCTTCCAAGAAACTTTGGAGCCAAACCATCTCCTTGCTGGCTTCCGTAACAGCGACATATTCTGCTTCAGTTGTGGAGAGAGCAACTATCTTCTGTAGTTGAGAAACCCAACTCACTGCAGTGCCTCCTAGAGTATAGACATACCCTGTAGTGCTCCTTCTGATGTCGACATTTCCGGCTAAGTCAGCATCTACATAGCCTGTCAGTATCATATCTCCACCTTTGAAACAAAGTGCTTTGTTTGTGGTACCCCGAAGATATCTGAGGATCCATTTGACTGCTTCCCAGTGTACCTTGCCCGGATTATTCATGTACCTGCTAACAGCTCCCACTGCATGAGCAATATCTGGTCTGGTACAAACCATGGCATACATCAGACTTCCAATTGCTGAGGCATACGGCACCTTCACCATGTGTGCACGTTCTTCCTCCGTCTTTGGTGATTGGTCTTTGGAGAGTCTGAAATGAACACCTAAAGGTGTACTTACTGGTTTAGCATCTTGCATGTTGAACCTGGAGAGTACTTTGTTGATGTACTCAGCCTGTGATAACATCAAAGTCCCCGACTTTGTGTCTCTCTTGATCCTCATCCCAAGAATCTGCTTTGCAGCGCCCAGATCCTTCATAGCAAACTGCTTCGACAATTTTTGCTTCAAGTGTATAATCTCTTGCATGTCTGAGCCTGCAACGAGCATGTCATCAACGTACAATAATAAAATAATGAAGTTGTTGTCGAACCTCTTGATGTAGCAACAATGATCTGCTTGGCATCTGATAAAACCACTGCTACTCATGAAGCTATCGAACTTCTTGTACCACTGTCTAGGAGCTTGTTTTAAACCATACAAGCTCTTCTTCAACCTGCATACCAGGTTTTTCTTGTCTGCCTCTATGAAGCCTTCTGGCTGCCTCATATAGATTTCTTCCTCCAAATCACCATGAAGGAAAGCTGTCTTTACATCTAACTGCTCAAGATGTAAATTCTCTGCAGCTACAATTTTCAACACCAGTCGGATTGTAGACAATTTTACGACTGGAGAGAAAATTTCATTGTAGTCAATACCTTCTTTTTGCTGAAAGCCTTTGACAACCAATCTTGCTTGTAGCGTTTGCTCCCTCGTGCTCTTCTTTGATCCTGTAAATCCACTTGTTGTGGAGCGCTTTCTTGCCTGGTGGTAATTCAGCTAATTCCCATGTCTGATTTGACATAAGCGAGTCCATCTCATCTTTCATGGAAGACTCCCACTTGACTGAATCCCCACTTGCATTGCTTCATCATAGCACTCTGGTTCACCATTGTCAGTCAGCAACAAGTAGTGTAAAGAAGGAGAATACCGTTGGGTTGGTTTAGGAATTCTGGAGGAGCGTCTCAGTTCTGGTGTGCCTGGTTCTTCTTGAACTGCTTCAGGATTGATCTGAACATCATTTCCAGAAATCTCCTCGAACTCAGCAAATTCCTTTGTTTCAGCTTCGGTATTACTTGATTCTGCGGTTGATCTATCTTTGTACATCACATTTTCATTGAAAATGACGTCTCTGCTTCTGATGATCTTCCGATTTTCATAGTCCCAAAACCGGTAACCGAACTCATCACCGCCATAACCAACAAAGGCACATTTGTTGGACTTAGCATCAAGCTTACTTCTTTCAGCAGAGTCTAAGTGTACATAAGAAATACAACCAAACACTCTTAAGTGTGAAAGGTTTATTTCTTTCTTGCTCCAAACTTCCTCTGGTATTCTGCCATCCAAAGGAACTGAGGGCCCACGGTTGATCAAGTAAGCTGCAGTGTTGATTGCTTCAGCCCATAGAAATTTGGGCAAGCCGGCATGTATCCTCATACTTCTGGCACGTTCATTCAGAGTTCTGTTCATGCGCTCTGCTACACCATTATGTTGCGGTGTCTTGGGAACTGTTGTCTCCATCTTGATCCCATTGTTTGCACAGAAATCTCTGAATCTACTGTCTTTGTACTCTCCTCCATTGTCAGACCTCAACCGCTTGACTTTCAAACCAGTCTCATTTTCCACCATGGCCTTCCATTTTCTGAAGATATCGAAGACTTCTGATTTCTTCTTCAGAAAATAAACCCACACCTTCCTTGTTGAATCATCGATGAAGGTGACATAATATAGTGAGCCTGCAAGAGATGGAACTGGGGATGGTCCCCATACATCAGTATGAACCAATTCTAACCTTTCTGCCTTGGGTGTCTTGCCAATCTTTGCAAAACTGACTTTCTTTTGTTTGCCAAAGATGCAATCCTCACATAGTCCGACATCTACATTTTTTAGATCTGGCAGCTTCCCTTTTGATAAAAGTGTCTTCATCCCTTTCTCGCTCATATGGCCAAGCCTTTGGTGCCATAGGTTTGATTTTCCATCAGCATCTGCTACTGCAATGATATTCTCTAAATTTGAGGTTACATAGAGAGTACCAGTCTTCTTACCACGAGCAATGACGAGTGCTCCTTTGGTAATCTTCCATTCACAGCCTGAAAAGGTTGTGCTATATCCTTCTCCATCAAGCTGTCCAACAGAAATCAGATTTCTTTTGAGGCCAGGAATATGTCTCACTCCTGTCAGCTTCCAGGTGGTCTGGTTTGGCAGCTTTAGTCGGATGTCTCCTTTTCCGACGATCTTTAAGGTTTCATCATCAGCTAGATGAACCTTCCCAAAATCACCACTGACATAGTTCTCCATGATTTCTCGGCATGGGGTGGAGTGGAAAGATGCCCCTGAATCCAAGATCCATGATTCAATCGGACTGTTGACGCTTAAAATCATGGCATCACCTGTCTCCTCCGTCATGTTGGCAGATTCCTGTGCGCCGGTATTTTTCTTCGGTGCTCGGCAATCTCTTTTGAAGTGACCCTTTTTGCCGCAATTATAACAGGTAAAATCTTATTTCCTGTTCTTGATTTGCCCCTTCTAGATTTTGATCTGCCACGATTTGAATTTCTTTCTGAAGTTCTCCCTCTAGACTCCGTGTGTAAGGCTGAGGAGGTTGATGCTTCACCCGATTCTCTTCGTCGAATTTCTTCACTCAATACCAGATCCCGAACATCGTCGAATTTTAATTTGCTGTTTCCCGACGAACTGCTGACTGCTGTAACAGTAGCATTCCAACTGTCTGGTAGAGATGATAAGAGAATTAAAGCTCGAACTTCATCATCGAACTCAATTTCCACTGAACTCAACTGGGTTGTGATTGTGTTGAGTTCATTTAGGTGTTGTGCCACCGATGCCCCTTCCGCCATCCGCAAATTGAATAATCGCCTCATCAAATGAACTTTGTTTGAGGCCGATGGCTTCTCGTACATACTGGAGAGAGCCGCCATAAGACCCGCCGTGGTCTTTTCCTTTGCTATGTTGAAAGCAACATTTCGGGACAACGTCAGTCGGATGACTCCGAGGGCTTGTCGGTCGAGAAGAGCCCAGTCTTCATTCTTCATGCCCTCTGGTTGCTTTCCTGAGAGAGGTTGATAAAGATTTTTCTGGTACAGAAAATCTTCAATCTGCATCTTCCAAAAGCCAAAGTCCGCACCATCGAACTTTTCAATTTTCACCTTCCCTTCGTCTGCAGCCATCGCTTCCACTCGAATCTGGCTT